TGCCACAGGAGACAAATATATGCTCATCTCCAGAAGACGCTTATTCATCATGATAATTATTTCAACGCTTCAATTAGTTTGACAACAGTATTTGCATGTGCCGCCATTTTGCACACCTGTTTGCCAGTGGGTCTTGGGAAAACGGAGGGAAAATGACTGTTGTGTTGAGATGAATAAGTCCTACTCTCTGCACAGTGCTGCTTATCACTCATGTAAATGTATACGCTATTGACAACGATATGATGTTAGATCAGTAAAATACTTTAATATACTGCCTGTAACTTGCTGTTCCATATGTGAATGGAGCCTCCAGTTTGAAATAAATTTTGTATAAATCAAAAAGCATTTGTCAACCTGCCATTCACAACACATTTTTACCTGCTACTTCGGGATATGTACACAAAAAATGCAATTTTACAGGGATTTTTTTTTGTTTGAATAATGACAAAGTATTTTTAAATCACCTGTCTTGTAACACTGGAGCTCAAGAGGATTATAAATTCACTTTGAAAAAACAAAACATTGTTTTAAAGCACTACTGTAATTCCTGTAAAGAACCATGAACATTACTTGAAAAAGACTTCACCAAGTCTCCATAGAAATAAAAAGTCAGTGTTTCCTTTTACTGTGCTTAATCATGGCACACAATTGACCTGATATTCAGCATGTCATGGGCAATAATTACACACTGACTGTCTGATAAAAGGATAAAAACTTAAGGAGAGACAAGCGTCTGAGATATCCAAAATTATGATAGGTTGGCTGTGAAATTCTCGTCTTTGTAGCCATTAGTGCCGGAATGTTAAATTTTTTTTTTAATTTATTTATAAACATATCATACAGGTGTGTTAGTAGTATATACAATTTACTGTTACTTATTTGAGTTTTATAACATATAGACTGCATAGGTAATGGACAAGATGGCTGAGGTCACATCACAGCATCTGCATCTAATCCAGTGTTCAAATTGTGGGGGAGACATGTGACTTATTTCCCCAAAAATAGACATGTGCTCCCCTGTAAGCCATCTAAGCTTTTTTTGTCAGAGGTTACAGCACAAGATACTTTTTTTTGGTTTGAAAAATATGTTAAATTCACCAAGTGATGAGCCTGTTAAACAGCTGAGCACTGTATTCTACAGGTTCTGTACAAAAGTAAGGAGAAAATGTCCTCTCAGTCTGTGTTTGTAGTCCATGTTACATGAGAGGCTTTATAGAGTTTGCTATTAAACACTGGTCAAGCTTTAATCGACAACCAAAGCAAGTTCTACTGAGAGTCAGAATAAGTGCATGTATTTGTGAAGTTGTTTTAACAAGTGCTTCAGTGATTTACTATGGCACCTCCATATCCTGTAGTCACAGGACACTAAAGAGATTTTTTTTCAAAATCAGAGAGGCAAACAAAGAGAAATCCTGACCAGAGAAGCAGCTTGTGAACAGGAAAGGCAGGCCCCCTAACAGGCTGGGGGCCTAAGCAGCTGCATGCCTTGCCTCCACAGCAATGTCTAAAAATGTGGCACCCTCCCCCCTAAACAACCAATGGACGATTTGCAATGACATCTCAGTAGGAAATCTCCTGAAAGGGGCCCCTGTCATTCCCTGAACAATTTGCAATGACAACTCAGAAGCACTGTTACCAAATATTTTCAGTAAAGCTGATCTCAGATCAGCGTTCTGTCCCACAAGGATCTGATGCCTGTTTGCATTCTTCATGTAATTCATTGTACACTTGTGACGGCAGCAGGCTATTATCTCGGAAAGCTAGCTTGACTACCAGCGGTTGTATCTAAAGCACGTTTTGGACATTTGCACATGTACATTGAGGAAAATCCTGGGGTCTTTGACAGGTGATTAGATATAGCAAAAGCTGTCCTTGGCGCTGCTTTCACCGTTCAGAGAACAGTTATGATACTGCACAAATTATACGCGTGCGCAGATGTGTGTGGAAACTAAACTTGCACATTAGAAAATTACTTCCACAGTCTCTCTAATCCTACGCATTAAGAGAGGCAGCAGTAGCAAGTAAACGAGCAAATTACGCTGTGATTTATCATATCTGCAAGAGCTGAAGTAAGTTTGAGAAGTTTGAGACTGCACAAGTAGCGTAGCTCCTTTCAGAAATAACTCTGTACGCAGGTTGTGTGTGTAGTGGGTGAGAGAGAGAGAGAGCGGTGAGGCTGGCGACCAGAGCAGAGAGACAATCGCCACTCATCTTAACTTTTAGTCTCTAGTTTGGTTCAGGCTCCAAATGCTGGATCCTACTCATCTCATAATGCAACTACATAGCATCTTAAGTAGACCATCTTTTTCTCCTAAATCGTCTATTCTCTCAAACTCTACACCTCAAGGCTTTTTGTTAAAAATTTTAAGTCTTAAGCCCAAGCCAAGATAACCCTAACGACATCATCAGTGAACAGAAAACCTTAAACAACTGTTTTCACAGGCTGAGTGGCACTCCTCGTGATGAGTAAACTGAACTTCATGTGCAATAAAAGGGTGCCCCCTTTAATCATCACCATCTGAGGGCAGCCTTAATCCACTAAATACCATGTTTGTCTACAGTGATATAATTAAATGCTAATTAGCTGCAACATTAATTGCAAAGGTTGGGCACCCCTCCTATACACAAACCCCACACACACACACACACACACACACACACAAACACACACACACAGGGACATATGCACACAATTAAAAATCTACAATTACTCATTAAAGTCAGTATACATTTTTCACCTCGGTGGAATGTGGGGCAGCTGCAGCTAATTCACAAAACTGCTACTCCAGAGTTTTGACAGGGACTAAAAGAGGATATAAATTACACCTCTCCACAAATCACTGCACTGGCTTCCAGTATGTGCTAGAGTTTACTTTAAGGCTCTTTTTCTTATCTATAAAGCACTGAAAGGCCTTGCTTTACAGTGTGTATTATACGTAAAAGCTCCAAGCCCCTCAGACCTCCAGCGTGATCCAGCACTGAGGGTCCTTTGAAAGTCTGGTGAAGCCGCCTGCAATTTTTGTGATCCTAGTTACTGGAATAACTTTCAAGATGATTTGAGATTTGCTCTGATTGTCTCCTCTTTCAAAAGAATCATCAAAATATTTCTTTTTTCTGTTGCCTTTCAACAATTAGTATTGTATCTTTGCCACTGAATAGTTTGTGTGGGAACGTCTTTCAAACTCAGGTTCAGATTCTTTGTTGTTCTGTTTGTTGTGACAGAGCAGCTTATGAATGGTTCTTACTTTTCCCTTTCCTTTTATAAAATTGATTTCCTTTTAAAAGATTTCCCTTTGTGTATGAAATGTGCTACATGATTTGAGTTGCCTTGCTTTGCTCTAGATCCACTGTCGCTCCCAGGAGCTAAAAGGCTAGCAACAGCTGCTCAGCCCTCTAAGAGTTTGGGAGCATATGACTGGCTGTAGGATGAGTGCTTGGTTGCTATTCTTACTTTTATTAATTAATTTAATACCATTTCAATCTTCTTTAAAAAATAATCCATTATGTATCATATTTAACCATTTAAACATGTCACTTCCTTCCAGTGCTTAAAAGTAATTCAGCTTTTTCTCTATTATCGAGATGAATAAATGTTAGAAATTAAAATATGGACATATCTTGTAAAAAAAAAAAAAAAAAAAAAAAGAAAAAGAAAAAGAAAAAAAAAACATAACTTAAGCACTGTCATTGTAGGTTTGACAGATCTGAGAACAGTTAGATAGATGTGCTGTACATTGAACACACATGAGCACACATTCAACCAGGGCAATTAAAGAGGGACATGATATTTCTCTGTGCCAGCTGTCAGCTGTACTATCTACTATGACAGAGAATTTACATTCAGATACTTTTTCTAGCCAAGTGCAAACCCTCAACCTACAGTATCATTTGAGTATAAATTCAAATAATACGAACATTTAGAAACCAAAGCAAGCATTACAGAAGCTTTATTTGATTTTTTGCAGAATATATTGGTATGCCTGTATCTACTATATGCATACACACGCATGTTTTCACATTAATGACTCTCTTCTTGAGTCCGACACAATCTCTAGTTAAGTAATCACATGCCTTTTTGACTCACTGTAATTTTGACCTTTATGTAATGGCAATGGGACCATCACGAGTGTTAGGTACCATGAGGTATGACCATGCAGTTGCGGTTTCAACACACTGAAAACTGTTGTATTGTCAGAGACATATATGGGACATTGCCAGAGGCAGGAGGTCATCAAGTGACACCAGGGAGGATAGGTTCATGGAATGAATGCCTTTCCTCACAATACTGAGATTTCTGAAACAAAAAAATTGCAGCCACAACCCTGGAATATCTACATGTATATTTAGTCTCCAATTTATTGTGAAGTGGGAAACCTTTGTTGCAGTTGCCTCAAAAGACAGAAACAAGGGAGCCAAGAAGCCAGTTTTTGATGCCGTCAGTCTTGGTTGTCAAAGACCACAAGCATAATATTTCAGCTTTGGAAAACTTGACCTGAGCCACAATGAATTGTCTAGAAATAGAATTCTGACATCTTAGTTGCATAAAAAATGAATGAGGCCATCTCGACTGAAGTTCAAAAGTACCCTCTCACCATTCTGTCTAATGTTTTCTCTGTGCCTTGTTTCTGTTGTCCCTGCTAACCATACTTGGGCTGTGTGTATGTGTCAGAATTGAAAAAGATTAAGGATGTCTGCAGATATTTTTCTAATTCTGACTGACTTCTGCATTAGTATAGCTGTCAGCATGTGACTGTTTGTTGGTGTCTGTTTGACAAGTGTTACATCTGAATTTATGTTAGGCCATAAACTTTTGTTGTGTTTCTGGGCCAAGGGAAGAGGGATTTGACATTATTGAAAGTGTGCAACCATGCAAGCAAGTCCATGTGTCTTCTATCTAATGTGCCTGCAAAGATGTCAACGAAGCGTGGGATAGCTTCAAGTCTAGTACTTCCCTATAAAGTAAAATTACTCTTGAATCACAGAGTAAACACAGGACTTACCAAGGCTGAACTCCACCTGAGGCAGCTTGGGTGTTAGAATAACACCTGAGAGACAGAGAAAGAAAAATAGAGGGGAGATGATATAATAACAGACAGGGAGGGAGATAAAGGGAAGGAAGAGGAAAACATTAGAACAATGAAAGAGACACAGAAAATAACATATTAACTGTGATCCAGAACCTAAACTATTGCACACTGCCAATAACCCAGAGAACCAAAGTGACATCTACAAATTCTTTGTTTGTAGTGTGACCAGTCCAAAATCCAAGGACGTTCAATACAATTAACAATTTGATTAATCAGCAAATCACTTCAGTCTCCAAGTCCTCTATTTGAAATGAAAAGGGACAATCACAGAGGCCATAGACACAGAATGTTAAGTAGATACAAAGTAGATTAAGGGGTTGAAATCTGATCCATTTTCACCAAAGTGACAACACTGTGGAGACAGAAACTATTTTAATCAGAAAAAAAGCTAAGCCTGTCATGCTCCTAGCATGTTAAAGTACTACGTCTAGAGAATTTTAACAAGCTAGCAACATGGCAGGCTCCCAAAAACGCCACAGCGATTAGTGTAACTGTTCATTTTACATTATGCAAACCCACTGCAATCCTTGTGAGTGCAATCTTTGTGAACAAGAGTTTCTGGGCATCCATTGCCCTTGAGGGCTTATGCCATAATGATGAGTAGAGGACTGACTGCTTGTATCATCTGTCACCAACACTGTCTCTCATTCATCACTCTCCCAGTCCAACACACCAAACAGATTAAACACCTGCATGATGGTGCAACACGTAAGGCCCTAAACTATTAAATGCCATTTTCCTCTTGCTGGGGTGCTTGGACACAATTGGCCTCTCTAAGGCTCATCAACTTCACTAATGGGCCATGGATACTCGATGCTTACTGATGTATGGGTACCACACAGCTTTAGGTAACACCATCTTATATATATATATATATATATATATATATATTGAGGATACTTCACACAGACTGAAAATAATTTACTTGTGTTTTAATTATTAATTCTACTAATAATTACTTTAGTCTCCATACTTTCTTGGCAGTTTTAATGTCATATCAGGTTAGTTTATTTGTGATAGGCAGGTTAGTTTTTGTAAAGCCTTTCATCACAAAGCATGTCTTCAAGGACTACACAGACAAAAGACTTAGATCAGTCATGCAACAAAATGATTCACTATTAAGGAAAGGATTAAGGAAAATTTTGCAAGGCAAAACTGTTGGAAAGACATTAAAAACCCAGATATCCTGCCTATCCTTCAACCACTGACCCTGGGTAAAGAGAAGAAACATCTGCCAAGAAAACATTAAAGAAAATATTGAGGAATCCTGCCAGTGGGAAAAATCAGTCTTTTAACTGTCTAATTAACAGATAACAGTTGTTTTCTTCAACGTTCCATTGAGAAAGTACAGAAGATTGTCACACTCTAAGGAAAAAAAAAGTTTATATCCATAGTAGCTTTCTACCATGGGGATGCTAATAGACAAGATGCTGAAAATATCCCTTATCGTTGATAAATCCCCATGGGTTTTGGGTGTCGACTGACAATGAAAGTTCAAAGGTGTTTCTTTACAATGTCACAGACTTACAATATGTTTTTGGGCTTTTCCATCTTTTGGATCTAATTATGGAAATACAGAAGTGTACAAGCTCACAGGCATGTTAAGAATTATGTTTAGGGTGGTTTATCCATTTAAATATGGTATTTTCTGGGGGCATCGTGTGGCGTAGTGGTCTAAGCAGGCGCCCCATGTGTAGAGGCTACAGTCCTCGCTGCAGTTGGCCCCGGTTCGAGTCCCGCATCGGACGGCCTTTGCTGCATGTCATTCCCCCTCTCTCTGCCTCCCCATTTCCTGTCTCTCTCTACTGCACTATCAAATAAAGGCATAAAAAGCCCAAAAAATATACTAAAAAAAAAATAATAATAATAAATAAATATGGTATTTTCTTTTATTCTTTTGAACATTTAAATTGATGCAAAAGAAACAATGTTACAGAGATTGTTAATGAATAACAGACATTGAAAGTTATGGAAATCATTAGCATTTGCTCTGTGCCCACTTGAGAGTCACTTGCTTACTAAGGCCAAAGAAGCGCAATCCACAGTAACTAGCAATTTAAAGTGCATTTGGAAAATCAGCAAATATGTTGACAACTTTGTGTATAAAATCTCAATTTGCTGGTGTCTTCTCAAGTGTGAGCGAACTGGGCTCTATCAGCTGCTGCACTTGTCAGGATGGGCTACATTTGAATAAACAGGCTTATGCAAACTTAGTGCAATATGTGTTATGCATACAAGTACAGTAAACGTCTAATTAATCAGGTGCACAAATAGCTAAAGTACGTGGACCAGTAAACACACACACGGTTTCACAAATAGGCCAATTATGTATGTAAATAAACCTTCTGTGTCGCTATCTGGTTTTCACATTACTCTCATCATCCCATTCCTCAGGGGTCATGTCTCCTAATGTTGTCACCACCAAGGCTTCCTTGTGAGTGCTGATGAAACTTTAATAAGCCTGGATGACATGTTGTGTGGTGGCAACAGAGAGCCCTTTAGCTAGGTGGGCTGAGACAGTGCCAGCTGTTGGGCCCCGTCTCTGGTGCCACGTTATCATGAGGGACTGTCACTTGAATAGTCCAGTTACTTTGGAGGACTCCATCTGTGCAAAACACCAACTTATCTAAAGTGGTAGGAAGCAGTGGAAAATGTCTGTCATTGCAGAAATAATTGAATAAAGATAAGAAGTAAAGCTAAGTCTACATCTGATACGGGTTGGGGATACAGATCATGAGACACACACACACATGGCAACGGGATATGCTTGATAGTGAAGAAGGAGGATTGAAGTTAAAAGATGTGTGAATTTTAGAGCACAGCTTGTAGGTGGAGTGTCAAGTATTTATAGAAGGATCATACCAGATGCTTTGATTATAAGACAGGCAACACAGGTTATGTTGCGTCTTTGAGAACGAATACTGACTACATGACATTTTAACAGCGCTCCAGTACAGGCCTGGAAACTGTTGTTCACATGTTCACAGTGAGTCAGTATCCATAGTTATTAAAATCATGGACAAATTATGCATAAGCAACCTCAGGACACAACACCTGTTATGTACACTATGACACCATTCTTGTCTTTGAGCACTGAACACATGCATATCATGAACCCATTAGTGAGAATCAGGCTGACCAAAATAAATACAGAAAGTCTAATTACAATAATTACCCATTACATGGGGTGAGGTCAACAACCTGTACTGTCCATCTGAAATCACATCTCCTTTAACATATGAAGCTCACCAGTGATCCAGCTTCAGTGTGTGGCTAAGTATGTGGAGAAAAGTGGCACAGGTGTGGTATTTATAATCGATATCCACAGGCATTATGAATATGGTAATAAGCTCAGCAAGGCAGCAGGCAGCAAGCAGGCAGGCGGGCGGCACATGCAGATGTAACTCCCAGAGGGGCCTGAAGCAAATGAGGTGTGCCCGCCCGCTATACTGCAGTTTCATCTGGCTCTAGAAATAACAGCACAGCCCCACTGTACCCCCAATCTATCACCCCCCTGTCTGCAGGTGGTATCAGTGGGGAAAAAGCCACGCTGAAGGGAGAGTAGAGGGTAATTTATTAGGATGTGTGCAGACTGGGTGATTTCTCTGGAATGACAAAGTTAATTAATGTACAGGGACTTAAATTGTCTGTCTCACAGATGATCATTTAACCCTCTTCCCTTCTCATTGCCCTGCTTCCTCACCCACTGTATAGTGTGATAACCGCTCACTAGCAGATACTGTGAAAGGAGGAATGAAAGTAAGAAATGTGGGGGAGTGCACGCACAGATTTCACATGGGATTGCTGCTTATTCCTGACTCCACGAAAAAAAAAAAAATTGTGGAAAAGCTCCAAAATACAGCCTGTCGCTGCTCTGGTCCCCATCTTATGCTACGAGCTCAACTAAGAAAATCAAGCAATTTCCAAAAAGAGCATTGATAAAGCCTGACAGTGCGTATAGCACACATTCCTAATCACTCCTGCTTATCCTCTTCATGAATAGATATTACATGTAAGAGCCCGTGCCTAAAAACAAATCCTGTTTATATTTTTGAATATTATTTACTGAGGTGCTATTAATAATTCACATATATGGCTGGCTCACCATGGGATTTGATGTTTCAGGGATATATAACTGGCCGTCTCTCAATAAACCAGAGCACAAAATGCCACCACCGACTACTCATCCTCACTACACACATGCATACTAATTGGAGTCTCTTTCTTCCAACTCTTTTTGTCCAATCTCACTCTCCTCACTTCCTCTCTTTCCTGTAGCTTAAATTGGCTAAACAACACCTGCACATCCTTTCTGAAGATTCAGTCATCAGCCTGCCTAACATGCCTCTAATTCGATTGATGTTTGCAAAAACAGGCATCCCATTAGGACAAGTGGTGCTGAATGGGAGAGTGAGTTATCGTCACATTACTGCCCTGGTAGATTGAAGGGGGACAGATGGTTTTGTTGCCAGCGTTTAATGAAGTGTTGTGAATCAGTTGGGTGTGCTGAAGAGGTCTTGACTGTCACGTCAATGGAAGATGGAGGGTGGAGGGTTAACAAGGGCATGGAGTGAGACATTTTGCTTCATAATAGTTTTGTGATGTCGAGCAGTGTGCAATGAAAATCAATCGTGTTGCAGCTTTCGTTGAGAACTCACTTGCTCGTATGCAATTATGATTAGAATAGTTAATAGTTAGAATAAGATAATTTCCCCCCTTATGTTTGTAAAACGCAAATTCAGTCCCACCTTAACAAGTACTGAGCAGCACCCAGTTTGGTCCCTCGTATCTCTCCTGTCATGAAGGAGGAGATAAACTATTTCACCTTGCGACTGATAATGTAGGGTTGTCAACCTGTCTTCCGTGCCAAACATGGTAATTATGTGCTTTGCTCTTCCCTTTTGTCTCCCAGGATGCTTAGGGAAAGCAAAACAGAGATAGAGTGAGGTCTTTGTCATTACTGTTATAACTCCCAAACCTGTCAGATGTCATCTCTAAACTGTGACTGTGTGATTTTATAGTAGTGCATATCTAGAGTTCGTGATCAGGTCACTAACTGATAGTCTGAGCATGTGTGTAGCTGTGTGTGTGCATGTATGCTCAGATCTGTGCATGTGTGTATGTATGTGTAGACGTACTGGTGTGTACAAGTTTCATTATTTCTTTGTGTGTGTGTGTGTGTGTGTGTGTGTGTGTGTGTGTGTGTGTGTGTGTGTGTGTGTGTGTGTGTGTGTAATTGTGCATATAAGCTGGTTCAGTGTGCATCTGTGTGGTTTGAGGCAAAAGAGACAAGGCATCATGAATTGCGCTTTCATTCCTCCTTGTACAGCTCCATTTACTTATCCCCATGGGGAAGATGATGGTGTTGAGCTTGCATGCCAATGCAAATGCTTAGTGGCGCTGCATGCAGTGTGTGTCCTTTTGGTAAGCAAAGGTATTAAACTTGGAGAGCAGGCTTTGTGGCATCACTGATATGGCTAATCTCTTTAGCATTCTCCTGTTGTGATGTGCATTGAGACATCTAGTTTGCCTCTGCCAGCGCTCATTACTGACAACACTTTCAGGCTATATGGAATATGACTGCAGTAAAAAAGCAAAGCACACACACAGGCACAAACAGACATGAGAATCTGAAGACATTACATGTCAACAAACAGTGTTTTTCAAACAGTTCTCTGCTGAGCCACTAAATCAAATTCTATTTTAACCCAAACCAGGTAAGGCAGACCACATTCTGAGACAAACAATTTGTGATTCAATCACGTTACAAGAACCAAATACATAATTGGAAACCTGTAGAAAGGCAGTAAGTAAGTTTTAAAATTATTTCTTGAGCATCATTTTTGGACTATCAAGGTATCAACATGATGCTGCTTAGCACTCCAATATCAACTGGCTGGTAAGACACAGTATGTTCATTTTACTTTTAAAAATGTTAAATAATTTTCAGCTACCCCCTGTAGACACTTTAAGTTCATGACAAGTATGATTATTACAATATGTTATCCAGATAGGACAATAAAACTTAACTGAATTCATTCACTTGATTATTGATCATCGTGCATTTTAAATTGTTTCCCTCTCTCACCCTTGCTGCTACCTCCACCCCCTCCCCTCTCCCTCACTCTGTCTCTAACACACACATTCTCTGCAGGCAGAACCACTGCAAACACAAATTGAGGGAAAATATGCAAGAACTAGACATCGCTGGAGCAAACATTTATAGAAACAGTATCAATTGTAATAGCACTCAAGGTGTTTCAGAGTCAAACTGTATGAGGAAGGACAGGGGAAAAAGGTGGAGGGGACAGATTAAGAGACGGACAACACAGTGCAGTCAGCTCACCGGCAGCAGTCAGTCCTTCAGGGTTGGCGCTCAGCTCCTTCATGTCAACCATGCAGTGTCCCAGGTGTTGGGTGCCGTCCTCCATCTGTCCGGCTTGCCCCTCAGTTCTCCCCCCTGCTCCTCCACCTCCTCTCCCACCTCCTCCACGAAACACCACAGTCCAGTCCAGTTCCTCGGCTCACACACAGCCTGCCAAGCGGAAAAGCTGTCACAAAGATAGCAATCCGCTTGCCTCGCTTTCTTGCTGCCTCACAGCGCGCTCTCTGGCAGCATTAAAGATGCCTTTTGGAAACTAATACGGAAGAGAGGGACCACGAGGGACCTGGAGCAGTGGTGGGGAAGGAGTGAGGGAGGGAGGGAGAAAGGGAGAGAGAGAGGGAGGGAGGGAGAGGGAGAGCAGTAGAGAGAGGGGAAGGGAGGACTGATGAGGGAGTGAGACCCAGAATGAAAGAGAAAGCAGGACAGAATTGATGTTATGTGCGATACACAGCTCTATCCATCAATCTTTGGCTGTCAGTGGGGCACCTAGACCAGACTGCGTAGCGCAATACAGCCCGAAAGACACAACTCTGCCCACTCTCTACCTCTCCCTCCTTTTCTCCTCTCACTGCGCAGCCACTGCTGCATCCAGACATGGCAGCAGGGGTCCCTCTGATTTCTCCAGCCTCCCCTCGCCACTTCCCATTTCCTTTCCTAGCAGAAAAACAATTAATAAGCATCTGACTGCTGAGCTCCATACGGTGAAGACAGCATCATGCCGCATAGGATTTTGAAAGTAACATATAGTAGAAAGGGAGGTGGGGTTGGCAGGAGAGAAAGCAAGAGACAAGACACAGTACAGTGACAGTTTTTAGTGCGGATGTAATGTAACTGCTGAGTATAACTCAGCATTAAATCAACAGGTTGAACAGGGAATGTGATGGAGATAACAGTCCTTTGATTTATTTAGACAAAATGTATTTCCATCTGAACTGGGCATCTGCAAATACAGAGAGGAGGAAGAGGCAGCAGAAGATTTTGTTTTAATCAGCAATTATATGTAATGAAGGGGTACACTGGCAGAATAATGCAGCTCTCTTCCTCTCTCTTCCCCTGTGTCTTTATTTGTTGCCCTTGCCGCCTCTCCACCCATTCATACTGTGAAGGTTATTGTTAGTTATTTGGCCACCAAGGCCACGATTCTACAGTAAGACCATATCTAAAATCAATGTTAATTTATACCCTGCTGAATGGAGAGGGTGTTGTGGTCTGAGCTAACGCTCAATAAAGACACGGAGAAGGCAGAAGCCTTAAACTCCTAAAGGAGATTGACACCTACAAAATATATTATGGAATACTAAGACATGCAGCATCACAATGCAACATAGAAATTAAAATCAGATGATAAACATATAAACAAATGTAACAAATAGTGGCTTTAATCTGTTAATGAGGGTTGAAACACATAGTTACAACTATTTTTCATGCTACTTACTACTTTTCTCAGTATCCCTCTGGTATATGAGCTTGAAGGGACATAACCATTAAATTATTGGCATTACCCATGGAGGAACAATCTGTTTATTTGAGGTGGAGGGATTTTTATAAGATAATATAAGATATTTGGACAGTGGAAAAAAAAAAGCTCCCCCCTTCTTTTTTATCTCAGGGACAATAAAACACCTTTTACATTTTGTAATATTCACAACAACAATTTTACAAAGACCTTCAGATTAATTTTCACAAGATTAATTTTCTACTTTTCAGGCATTCACTGGTATCTATTTATTTGAGTACACATAGAAACATTAAAAACATACACACACACCTGAAACTAGACAGGTAACTGTAAAGCAGAAGAAAGTTACTGAAATGGTGTAAGGTGAGCAAAAGGCATCTGGGCTCACAATCTGGCAACCCACATGCTGTTTTATACATTGTATATTTTATGGAATTGTGATTTATCATTATTGCTGGCATCAATAAATCATTCACAAAAACAAATTCAAACCATCTATGTAGGTGTGTGAAATAACCTCATGCAAGAGACTGCAGCTAAAATTACCACTCAGTTACTTTTCTTGATTGGGGACCTCTTTGCTGCCATAGTAATTATGACAGGAGTAGAGGAAGAAGTCGGGCGACGTAGTATATAGAGCGACAAAGTCCATGTTGAGACAAAGTTGGGGTAGATAGATGGATCATCAAAACACAAGACATTTACACAGGAGGCCGCTGTTCCCGTTTCAAACTGATGGTCAGTGTTGTTTCTCATGACTATTACTGAGTGTTTATTGGTGTTAACATGACAAAGGTCCTTTCCTTAAACCTAACCGAGTAGTTTTTGTGCCTAAACCTAATCAAACCAATTGCTGTAACCATGACAAAGAAGGTCTGGTACGCCTGCTGTTGATATGCATCTATGGGATGTATTCTTGTTAGCATGACAACAAAGGTCTGCTACGCCTCCCACCGGTACGCTCCAATGGGTTGTAGCCAAGGGGTGTTAGTGTTAGTTTGGAGGATAAACCCTTTGTGGTTATTTCATAGTACCAGAATGACAAGCTAATCTTATTAATGTGGGTTGTACAAGAGTGTGTATCCTATAACAGTATAAATTCAATATAACCCCAAATAGGTCATTGTTTTATCTGTTTATAAATACAATTTGGGGGCAACCCTTAGTATTTCTTTCTTTGTGATTTGACTGTCAGAAGTATTTCAGCTCTAACAATACAATCAGCCTTTAAAAAAAACAATACTGGTTAAACCCTATAGATACAGGGCTCGTGGGCTAAAGAGCCATGTTGAGTTCATGTGCTTTCTTGAGGCGACTGGTCTGGGTTGGGGTTGGTGCCAAAAACCTAAATGAAGATAAATTGGTCCCTGCAGGAGCAATAAGACAGAAGATGAAGCCACTCTGCACGAGGAGGTTTCTTCTTCACTTTCTACTACTCCCTCCATCCTTATCCCTTCATCCCTCTATTGCCACATTCTCCTTGTTTTCCACCCCCTTTACTCCCTACAACCATCAAGATGAATGTTGTCTTCTTCTGTTTTAATGAAATTGTGGCTGGGACACATGAACACACACATAAACACAATTTTGTGGATGTGTACACTCACACAACACTGCAGAGAGGCAAACAGGTCTGTGGTGTGATCCATTAACATTCTAATACGTTTCTTTTAAAGGCGACGTGTGTTGTCTTATTAAAGCCTGACTGATAGAGGAGGCTGGAGAAAATCAATAGACAATGCACTAGAGATGGAGAATAGTACAAGTACACTGAGGAGAGGAGAAGAAAATAAACATGCCCTTTTTAGCTATTCGGCCCCAAAGCCAGGATAACAGATCCTCACATTTACCCATTCCAATAGCACTTCAGGCCCATTAGAATTTGTGATACACTCCTTCACAGTATTAACCCGAGGAAAGTCAATAGCTTGATTCAGAGTAGCATCTGGGGTGCAAATTGCCTCCACTAGGGTTACACAGCTGTAGTGCAGAAAAGGCCACAGCAGGAGACTTCCTATTCTCATGGTGTGAGCACACATTGTGGTCAAAATGAGCAAGGCAGATAATTGCTGAGGGCATTGTTTGGTCTCACTTAAATCAATGTCTTAAATCCTGCACATGAAGTTATACATCTATTGATTTACATGTGTACTTTTGTATAGATTTGCAGCTGGTGTGTTGTATTTTTTAATTTTTTTTTTTTTTTTTTTTGGGGGGGGGGGCATTAATGTTTTATTTGTGGCTACAGCGTGCTGCATGTGGCAAACTCAAGAACAATAACGACAACATCAAAGTATTCATCTTCCAGAGAGCTACCCCTGCTGGGTGCCCTTTCTTTGATTTTAACATGTTTGCGCCTTAAATTTATGAAACAGCAAGGAAAGAAGCCACTTCACACATCGGGTGACAGCACAAGCAAAAACACAGACAATTTGATGAGCAAACAGTGCTGACTGAAAGATGAAAAATATGACAGTTTTTAGTAGATTTTGGTTTTTAAATCATTGAGTAAAACTGACATTGTCAAAAAACAGACTAATACAAGACTGTGCATTGGGGTTAGAGTTGTTTCGAGTGGTTAATGTTTGTTAAATAATGAAACAATCCTCTTGCAGGCAGCAGATCACACTCTCTCTCTCTCTCTCTCTCTCTCTCACACACACACGTCTTATTGGAAATACAGTCTCTTCAATTAACACTGTATTCGCTGAAAATAATTGGTTGAATCAAAATCAACATGAATACTATCACAATGAAGCAATTAAAAAGCTAAAAACAATCCTGTGATAACAGGTCAAAATTTCAGATGGATCAGTTAAATCATCCATCCATTATCTATACCGCTTATCCTTGTAGGGTGGGGTGGGAGCCAATCCCAGCTGACATTGGGTGAGGGCAGGGTACACCCTGGACAGATCACCAGTCCATCACAAGGCTGACACAGAGACAAACAACCAGTCACACCTCAGTCATTCACACCTATGGGCAATTTAAAGTCACCAATTAACCTATTGTGCATGTTTTTGGACTGTGGGAGGAGGCCGGAGTACCTGGAGGGAACCCACGCAGGCATAGGGAGAACATGGAAACTGCTACAGAAAGGCCCAAGGCCGGGGGTTTGAAGCCAGGACCTTCTCGCTGTGAGGTGACAGTGCTAACCACCGTACTACCGTTCCGCTCATTAGTTAAATCATTTCACATTTGTTCAACATGCCCCCATGTACATTAAATGGATTTTTAGTTGATGCAATTGTTCCTGCTGTACATATTAGGCCGCAAAAAAAACATTCCTTTAGCAATTTCAGTGTAAGTGATGGAGGACAAAATCCAGGGGGAGGGATAGTAACACAAAGTGGGAATTTGGTACTAAAACAACTGGGTAGTATTAACTTGATATAATCTAACTCGAGCTGCTTATGACTCATACAGCTTTAGTTTAACTTTAGGATTAGTTTCAGCACAATGTCCCTCATCCCATACAGTGAAATTGCTTTTAGAATTGATCTCTTTGTGGACGGGAGTGACCTGTGACTGGATATTTAAGTTGAATATTGGCTTGAAAACAACAAACAAATAAAACTAGTGTG